TACTTTATACAAAAGCTAAACATTTATTAGCTGAAAAAAGATGGTGGATGCTAAATAAAAGCTCCTACGCTTACAAAACCTTTGTCGTGTGTATTAGTTTTATTTCTTACTTGCACTCCTTTCTTTATGTTACCTGTTAATGTGTTATTTGTGTGAAACGGAATGAAAAAAATAAAAGCAACTGTTGTTTGTGTTTCAGGCTGGATATTTACACAGCAAGCGTAACGACCAGTGGGTTCGACTTGATTATTTCCTCTTGGGATAACACTTATGTGTACGGCGCGTCAGCCCGCTATTTCGTCTTTGGTCAGGTCTAAACAGATCATTGCATACGAATCTTGAATGTAAGAAGGTTTGAACTGTAATTTCCAACACAGAATGTACAGCACATGTCTCTGACACGGAACGCAAATCTTACACGTCCGAGACGTTACGTTATGTATAACATGTGAGCATGACACATGATAACAAGGAGCAGAAAATTAATCATAAGATGCAGAAAGTTTATGGCGTTCCTCGTCACTGATTGTAAGGTCTTTGTGCCTATAGCAAGAATTTTCAAATTGTTGGGAATTTCATTTTAAACCTTTTTAGCAAGTTTCAGATGAACTTTCAGCCAAAATAAGATTGTCGTGAAAACTTAACAACCTTTCATGGAGAGTGGTTGCTGTGTTTTGACGTTTGAATTGCCACAATTGTTAATGAAAGTTTAAACACTTACTGGTAAAATTTTTGCTTGCCTGGGAATATGTCTTAAAAACGTCACCATTAATTTTAAGTGTTCTAATTATGTGCCTGATTTCTTTTGATAGTGAATGCCGTGTTGCGATACTAAGGAATTGAGAATTGTTTAACATAATTAGAATATTCTTGTGTGATACAGAAGTGCATTATGCTTCCTTGCTCAATGACTAAGTCTGTTGAAATTATCAAAATGACCATGAAACTTCAGACATTGCCTTAATAACCGGTCTCCCTGGTAATATTTCTTTAAGACAAAAGTTATCTCCTCTGATGATCATTAATTTTCCAACTATTGACTATGTATTTTTGACAGTGTGACTATATATCTACTATATTAACGTTGTGAGTCTATGTGGTGTAATGGGTTTTAATGATATTTCTATTGTGGTTGTCGTCAACATTGTTGAAAAATGACTTTTGAAATTTCAAGAGTCCCGTTTTAGTTTGTATGCTGTGCATTTAAGTGTTTGGCGACAAAGTTGTTCTACTTTACTACAGCAACTGCCTACCGTCGTTGTTTGTTTTTCTGTTGAATACAGCTGTTTAAAATCTTACGAACCGTCTCTGTTACTTTGCATTAGTAGCTGCAAGTTCAATTAATCTCTATAACCAGGTTTATATCTGGATACGGATAAAAAATAGGAAACAGTAACTCGACACGCTTTACACTTAGTCTGCAATACATAAATAGTCACTAGTGGCAATCGTGGCAAACTTTTAAACAATTCTGGGATTCTTGGACACACCTTGT